CTTTGGAACAGGTTTGAAGAGGCATAATAAAATAATGTTCAGCTGTTTCCCAGAGATGCCAGCGAGTAGCGAAGTTGATGTGATTTCCGGACATATGTTGGAAAGAAACGTCACAGCATCGCTACTTTTTCCGGATGAGATAATCGCCTGATAATCTTTCAAATTACCAACGCGCTTGAGCACTTTGAATTTAAAAACATAAACTCACTGACAAACATATGTTGCAATATATGGCCATCAGTGACCTTCTTTGCGATTTCAGCTTGATTGACCCTTGGAGGAATATTGGTACGTAACTGAGATTCTGTGGAACGCAGTTGCTTCATGGTTAGGAGCTACTCTTCTGTACGTCCTGTGACATCTGCCTTTCTCATACTGATTGGAATCTCTATCCCACGCCCATGCATGTTTTTAAGCTGATTCACAGCCACATACCTGTATATAATGGACCTATCATTACATAATTGCTTATTTCATGAATGCTTATTTTGCAGAAAGTTTTGCTTTTAAAAGATACAAAAATGCAATCGTTTCAGTCTTGGATATTTATTTCATCGATTTTCTGTATGTTCTTCAATGGTGTCACAGAGTTTTTCCATGACGATAGGCTCCATATTTGTATTTGCAAGTCTTCGCCGGTGTAAGCAGTAACACTGGCGAGAAGACCCACCTGGTAGGCAAGGCGACTGCAAGACTTTACTCCGATACAATATTTAAGGCATATCAGCCTGATAAAAATACATGTACCACATACTAAATTTCTCATTTTTGGGGGGCATGCGGTAGATTTCATTGTACACTGTACTTTTGAATTCATCATTAGAAAACTTATTGTATTATATATGTTTGCGGGCAAACTTTCGGGCAAAACTTTCCTCCTAATTGCTCGTTTTAGTATATGTTTAAGTTCATTTGTTTATTCTGCTTTATACGAAATACGCATGCGCGTATTTTCCTCTACCCCCCACCGTTACTAGGACAGTAAAGGTAATTGAATTGATCAATAAATATATCATTATATATGTACTGGATGTATATTATTATTTGATGCTACTCTTTTTTCTGTTTATTCAGTGGGCTTTCATACCGTGATTAATACCAGCCTATCATCAAAGGTTTCTGTCACCTTAAAGGGGACAAACATGCAAAACTGAATTTCGCGCAAACTCTGTATATAATTTGATATATATATATATATATATATATATATATATATATATATATATATATATATATATATATATATAAGTTTCATTTTCTGAAAATTTGTACCTTTCTTGTTTACTCGTTACGAAGAAATTTATGAAAAATCGATCATCTCTCCCGATCAGTCTTGAATAAACTACAAAACTTCCCTCCCCTTGAACAATTAGTGGATGTGACGTCATTTGAGACACTGTACAGGCTGGCATTGTTGATAATAGCACAGGATTCTGCAGTTTTATCAATAAAACACGACGAAATTTTTGACTACATGAAATCACCTAACGATATTATAAAATAATTATTTTATATTACCGTTAAGGTAATTTCATGTAGTCAGAAATCTTGTCGTGCTTTATTGATAAAACTGCAGACTCCTATGATAATACAGTCAATCATTCTATGAGTTGACTGTACATAAATGTTTAAAATGTCGACTGTCAGTGATATGGATGACAATCCAGAAGTAGAATATTTCATGAACATCCAATCTTATCTGTATGAACCCGAGACAAATTCATGTGACAAAGATGTACAGGAATCGTCAGGTTCTGACTATGACGATGATTATAAACTACCTTTAATTTTAAATACCAAACTAAATAGCAGTACAAAATCTAATCAATAAACCGGGTAGGGAAGGGCTATAATTTTCTACCGATTACGATTTCTTTCACATTTCAATTTTTTTTTTGTTTCATTGATTCTTCTTCTTTCTTTTCATTTTTTTAAGTCAAAACAATTTAATATTACCGATCAGAGTTTTTCTTGGCAGTTTTTTTTTGGGGAGGGGTAGGCTGGAAATTGGTTTTCACTTTCTTTAGACTGGATAATCCAACAGCTATTGATATGGACTTGTACATGTCATAATTGGATGAATGCTCGTCAAAGAAATGGACATTTAAAATATCAAACATGCAACAGTTTTTCCAAATAATTTTAGCCTTTTTTCCACACAGGTACTTGTGTAGTAAATGTGTTCCAATGTCCAACGAAGAATGGAATATTTGTTGCCAATCTCAGTGGATCTCGGAATAGAAAATATCTGTGTGTGTGTGTGTGTGTGTGTGTGAGAGAGAGAGAGAGAGAGAGAGAGAGAGAGAGAGAACACATTTTACACCCCCACCTCTTTCCAGGCTCCATAAACCAATCTGTTAAAAAATAAATACCACGTAGCCATGTATAAAGTGATTGAATTGTTGTGAAATTTTGTGTAATAACTATACTATTCAGTAAATTATGTTTTTCTTTTAGACTCTACCGACACATATCATATAGACGATTTTTCCGTAGTGTGTAGAATATACTAGGTAAAAAAATATAAAAATATTACCATCATGTGTAGTGAGCACGATTCGCATGACCTTTTCATCTGAAACCTTCAAATGTATTCTCGCTTCTGACTGATGAATCTGAAAACTTATGACAGTTCTAGAAATATGTGTGAATGTATGTGTATAATGGCAAAATAAAATATCAGAAGCTACTGAGGTTTTAAACTTTATTGGCTGAAATTACACGTTCAGGTATTGAAACGTTGACGGTGCTTCTAAATTATTGAGTCCTTAATGAACCCACAGGCGTCTGCAGTTTTATCAATAAAGCACGACGAAATTTCATGTAGTCAGAAATTTCGTCGTGCTTTATTGATAAACCTGCACTCCTGTGATGCTCCCTGGCCTATGTCGACTTTGACTCGCAGGCGTGCTTCCCGTCTTCTGTCTTATTATCAGAGTAGAAAAATATTTTTAAAAAAGAGTCGGCACTGCATCAGGCTTCAAACGCTAACGTTTTGTCTCAGACCCAATAGTTTGAAGAGTCTCTTGTCTTTTGAAAAACTTTCATGCTCGAAATAACTCAGTCATAAATCCCTTCTCTCTTAAATTTAATCGCCCATACAAATCACCCTTTAGTGTCATATAGAAATGTGAAGAAAAAATATTTGTCGGGAACTGCTTTTATTCACACAATTCAGAGCTGCTCATTGAAACATCGTTTCTACTTGACACTGAGTATTTATATGCCTGTTGTACTGGAATCGTCTCAAATGACGTCACATCCTGCTTGCATGAAAGGGAGATAACAACTTGAGGGGGTAGGTTCTTTTCATATTTGATCTTGGAATTCAACGCATTTTTATTATTAAATGTTTGTGCAAATATAATAAATGCAAAGAAAAAAAATAGTCAAGATAGATTATATACACAAATTACTACATATCCTTCTATTTACAATAAAATTTTGCAGGTTAGGGTTTTTGTCCCCTTTAAAGCATTTATTGTTATTTCAAAAAACGGCATCATGCTAATTAGCTAACAAACAACACAGCAGTATGCAATCTATGTTGATTCTTTATAATTGTGTAGAAATGTCTATTTGTTTTGGCTTAACAGTCCATGCTTTTGTTCTGCTCTTGCGTGTACATTTTCGTATTTCGTTCCTTCGATATAAATACTTGCCCTAAAGAATTGATCGGAAATTGCAAAACTTGCAAAGGAAATAAATCTACGTGAATATTTTAAAAGTCATTTTTTGAAATATTGACTCATCCTTGTTCAAATCTGGATATCTGGATGTAAAATGATTTTATTATTTTTAAATCATCTTTATTTTCCTTTCCATGTTACACAAGTCAAGATAACAGTGAGTTCTGGATAATGTATTTGGCAAGGTTTAAGTATCTTAGGTTTTAAAAATCTACAAATTTCTCATACCTGAATAAATCATACAATGATTGAAACGAATGTTACGAAGACATTTATCACCTGAATAAATTTATCACCTGAATAAATCATACAATGATTGAAACGAATGTTACGAAGACATTTATCACCGTCACGTGTTTTGTCAGCACCGTTCAAGAGCATGCTTGAAGGAGTAGACTGTTCATTGCACCCCCATGCTAAGTCTGCCATATGGACACAATGGCACTCTTTGCCTGTCCGTTAGTGTATCCTTTATACTGTCCGTGTTACTATCTTGCTTAAACTGACAAGTTTATGTAATGTGCAAAATATTTATGCTCCATTCACCTCTCCCAATGTATAATGTTGTGTATTTTGTCGCTTAAACTGACAAGTTTATGTACATGTGCAAAATATATATGCTCCAGTCACCTCTCCCAATGTATATTGTTGTGTATGTTGTCGCTCTTTTTTTCTTTCTTATTTCGCTCTTGTTTTTCTTTTGTTAATATCATACAGATAAATAAATTGAAATATGCCGCAATTCTTCAACAGTCAAATTTTGTGGGCTGGAACTGAGTTTTCTTACCTACAAGTCTTATTCCCGGTTGCGATATCTCCCTATTCCAAAATAATGCACATGATTATTGTTTTTAATAATTTGCTTGAAATCATGCTGACTGATTGACAGGTTACCGTACAATCTCAATAAAATGGACATAAATATAAATAGGATGCGGCGAGCTCATTTTAATAGGGCATGTTATGAATTCACCTTGTTGTTATTGGTATATTTAATTTTTTGTGTGCTTGACTTTGACTGAAATTATAATTTTTGCCTATCTGACTTTTGTCATGTTTCTCAGATATTTAGTAAACTTTGAGTTATCAGAGCAATCAGTTGTGTCGTAAGTCAAGTGGGTATATTTGGACATGTCATATGACATTTAGGATTATTTGGAAATTAATTCGCTTTACTGTAAGTATCCTTTGAATTTTCACCTTTTATTCTATGCAAGTAAATTATGTGTCAAATTTTACTTAAATTGTTTGCTTCACTTCTTTACTGATGCATAGTTTAAGTGCATCGAAGTGCAACAGCGATATATAGCCGCTCCGGTGGCCTAGTGGTTAGAGCGTCCGCCTCGGATGCGGGGATTCGTGGATTCGAACCCTGGTTGAGTCATACTAAAGACTTTAAAAATAGTACTAACAGCTGCCTCTCTTAATTCTCGGCATTGAGAGGTTAGTGACTGGGTATGACATCATGCTTAAATGCCTGCGGCTTGATGCCCCAGTGCTAGACATCACTATAAACTGTCACATTGCAGACATCATAGCAATATGACTGAAAAATTGTTAACGCTTAGTTAAAAAATATAAATTACTCTCACACAACAGCGATTTAGACTTTGATGTCATTACCAACGTTGAATTGTACCTTGTCTGATATGATCTATGTTGCCTTGCTTATACAAATGTGTTCACAATAACACTCAAAGATACTATTAACCAGATATTAACCAGATTTTATGTATGAAACAAATAAAGTCTTATTTTTAGACTTTAGTCGTCTAATTTGGGGAGTTTATTGATTTATTGGCTATGAAGATAATTAGTTTGTTGTTCGGACTAATAAAAGCAGTAAATAAAAAACATCAAATTGTAACATCTGTTCTTTGCTGTAATTAGCAAATTTGTCTCAGCAAAATCATTATGTCCATTTTGCGAAATGTTATGGTCCTCTCTACATTCCTGAACTTTTGCGAAATGGTATGGTCCTCTCTACATTCCTGAACTTTTGCGAAATGGTATGGTCCTCTCTACATTCCTGAACTTTTGCGAAATGGTATGGTCCTCTCTACATTCCTGAACTTTTGCGAAATGTTATGGTCCTCTCTACATTCCTGAACTTTTGCGAAATGTTATGGTCCTTTCTACATTCCTGGACTTTTCTGTATTATATTATATTTTCTAGCTGTAAACTTAATAATGAGGCGACATTGCTTCAGAGAGTTTTTTCAATGTTCTAGAAATAACTTAATATTAGTTCATGACGAACACTATGCATTTTTTAAACAATTTACCAAGACATGAGAGAGAAACAATGCTAAGATAAACGTCGGTGTGCCATTTCATCTTAATATAATTACATATCTTCTTTTAATCTCAAAGTCTGCTATTTATACAACATTTACAAAAACGCGTTCATAACATCTGATATTTATACTCTAAGAAGCATTATGTTCTTGTAATGCATGACCGATGGCCTAAATTACTGAAATAAAATACATAAATTTTATTTTGATTTCCATATAAAGAGAGATTACATTGTAACCACCCTTTTACTTGTAAGGTAATTTAGCCAAAGTTACATCCTTTCCAGCTAATATTTCATATTAAAACTTAGCATCCATGTTAAAAAGTTTATGGGCACCCACGTATTACTATTTTCAGGAGTGAGGTCATCACATCCGCTTAATTTGTAACCTGTCCTATTATTCAAATATACAAAATTTAGATTAGGGTCAAACATTTATCCTACATGACTTTTTCATGTAAGCAAACTATATTATGTATAGCAATGACAAAATATGAATGGGTTAATACTTAGGAATAAAGGATTATATAGGCTGTAATATTTTTTTAAAATTTCGAACATGTGGTAAAAAATTTGGATAGAAGAGTTACAATCCTAATCCTCAAAGAAACCGCAAAGTAATCGTGATAAATGTTATTAAAAATACCAAGACACAACGACGCACGATGCATTTTTTAAATGCAATTTCAAGACTTCAAAAGCAAACATTATATATACATATGTATATGTATATGTATATATGTATATATGTATATGTATATATAGATATATATATATATATATATATATATGTGAGTGTATGTATGTGTATATGTATATATATATATATATATATACATATATATATATGTGAGTGTATGTATGTGTATATATATATATATATATATATATATATATATATATATATAATATAATATAATATAATATAATATAATATAATATAATATAATATATACATGTATATAAACATACATATACTGGTGAGCTGCTCGCTCTGTTTTGGTCAATAACACTTTATTAGTCAACTTCAGTATTCTAGCATGAGGTCATTCCAACATATATTTAAGTTAAAACATGTTTTTCTTTATCCGCTTTACTCAAAATGTGTGCAAGCACGTAATAACACAATACGAAATTTATCTTCTTCCATTTACGGTTCAAGTGTATTACCTGGAGTATTAAGTCAATGCAACATTACAACATACAAGTCCAACACTTAACGATGGTGGTAATTGGCACGACTGGTATTGATTACTGCATTAACTGGTGGAGAATATGAACTAAGTAAAGGTTGAATGTAGGTACAGCTTTCAGGCAAGAAGTGAGAAATGGCTTTGTATCAGGAGTTGGTTCGTAATATTATTTTTATAAGCTGAAAATATATAATATGATATCATTTTAACATGTCATTCTGTACATGGTTGGTGTCAGCCTGTTTATATCGGATTAAGGTTCGTTAATGTATTACAGGTAAGTAGTTTACTACCCATTACTATCCTAATAATTTCTAACTGACGCTATTCAATGATACGTGTACTTATAAAGTACTTAACATTTTATATTTTTAAACTTAATGGTGTCTCGTTCTCAGATGATAACAAATTATATTGGTCTCTAATAAGTGTTACTGTTAATGAATGATCTTATTCTAAAGTGATATTTGGGGGGGGATATAAGTAACTCTGAATTTAGTATAATATCATCATACATGGTCATCACTAAGGTACAAAGTTTTCAAGTTATGAAAGTTTGCCTGCTAATTAAATCCGGATTAATTCATTTTCGTTGTTCCTCAATTTATAAACGTACTTCCACTTTATATTTCTCAGTACTATAAATAGTATTAAAGCAAAGAAACAAACGAGTGATGTTCTCCGTCGCATGCGGCGAAGTGGACATGAAGCATGATGGAATATAAACTTGATTTATGTTTTGCTAAGACTCTAAATTCGAGACCTGCCTTAACCATGGAACAACGAACCTTCTTACCCTACTATTAAAATACAAATCAGAGTACTTTAACATCTTTGCTATTAACATTACTTTTTACTCAAGGAAAGATCTTAAAAGTAGAGTTGAGCTAATCATTGATCGGGTCAATCTCTATTTATCCAAAAGATTAATTATATAATTTTCTTGACTTTGCGGATGTACAAAGAATCTATTCATGTATTTTCAGAAAATGTCGACACAGTTGATATTTGTGTTTTAGTTCGTATAGGCCAATTGTCGATTTTATTTGTTTGGATTACACTTATGCATAAGATTTGTAAATTGGTTTTAAAACTTGTTAAATATATATAAAATGTAATTTGCACATTATTTCAAGTAGATCATATTTTGCAAAAGCGAAGATATGGTTATTTTGATGGACAAATATCTTGCACGCATTGATACAGTAAACATAGTTGATTAAGGATATTATAGAAAAGTTACATAGCGTTGTATTCGACAGACTTCTATGCCATTAACCTCAATATTTGAATGATTGTTACTTTACTTGGAAGAATTTTGATTCCTTATTTTGTTTATTTCTGCGTTCAAACATGACTTGTGTGGCCGTGACAGACTTGCAGTTGAGTTCGGTAACATATGCTGCACTATATTTTGTTTTCGATTATTTTAGGATTATAAACAGCCCTCGTGTGTTCCCATATTTCTCCATCTTTTTCAGTCATGGCTAAGACTGTAATGAGAGTTAACATCGCTACTTAAAAAAAATATTATTATTATATTTAATCAAGACCTTCTAAAAATGTGCACCATTAATACGATACTGTATGACGAGTATCTGAGAATATCGAATAGGAACAGTCATGTATGTTCATTCACTGACAATTTGCACGATTCATGTACACACCAAATTAAGAAAAATAATATTAGAAGCTTGCGTTCTGTAGATTGGAGTTCGCCTTCTGACATTTATTGACAGTGCTTCCTCGTTGACTACTAAATGTTTACTAGATGGTCTAGAGTCTCCACACGTATTTTAAAATCTCTTCATGCTGGCAGAGAGAAATAGACATACATACAGACAGAAAAACACAGACAAATGGAGACATATACAAATGGAGAAACAGACAGAGAGCTGTAGAAGATGAAATATGACATAGACCAAATATGAAAGAACAGGTTTGATAAACTGACATAAGAGCAGATGTATTTCGTAAATGATAGAGAAGAAATTAGTTCCAAAGGTGATATCGCCACTGTTGTCATATGATTTGTCTCTTATTACACATTTAAATATCTCATTTTGAAATGCAAGAATATGTTAACTATTCTTATTAACACCAAAACACACTTTCAAATGCTTTAGGTAATTATTAAACTTAATTCTTCTTATCTTGATAAACATGTCTGAATTAATGCATTTTTGTGACATAATAATATGATTTGATACTTTCACACAGGTCACCTGAAACTGATCTCAAGTATTTTCATGGCATGATAAATGCAACATTTTAACCACAGTTATCTAGTACTCGAATGTAACGCATTCCATTACTTACCTTATTTACCTTCCGACTAATCTCTGAATTCAAGAAAGAGACTAAAGCAGAACAATGTTGTTGATAAAATGTATCGTTCTATATTCATTTCGAATTTAAATGGCTTCTTCCAAATTCATATGGCTCATACGATGAATGTCCGTAGACTTATACACTTTCCGATGGCAAATATATCAAGATGTTCTATTGTTATGTCAGGGTATACCAATTAATTATTGTAAAAATAGATTATGTTAAACTTTAAATGTTTCGATTGCTTATTTTACCTGGAACAATATTTATCCCAGTAGTACTATGGCTTTCGAACAAAGGGTTGTTACTTGAGAAGAAGGCCTAAAGAAGAAGATAAACAACTCGTATCTTTATCCGTGATTAATGTCAATTTAAGATGCATGAAGTGCATCCTACCCCATATCTTCCTGAAAACAAATATATCATCATGATTTGTTATCGTAACTCTGTAAATTATTATTATTACTATTATTATTATTATTATTATTATTATTATTATTATTATTATTATTATTATTATTATTATTATTATTATTATTATTATTATTATTATATATTTAT